GTTTTTCAAACTACTTATATATATACATTTAATTTTTGGATTTTCCTTTAACAATCTAGTTTTTGTCTTGTATCTAATATCATAGAGTTAGTTTTCTGATTGGATCATTTATTGTGTGTGTAACCACTTCCCCTAAATAAATGATTTTTTTGGGGACAGTTATGGTGAGATTTTTTTTTTTCAGTCCCCTTCCTAGTGACAACTTTTGTCTTGTATCTAATATCATAGAATTAGTTTTCTGATTGCATCATTTATTGTGTGTGTAATCACTTCCCCTAAATAAATGATTTTTTTGGGGGACAGTTATGGTGAGATTTTTTTTTTTTCAGTCCCCTTCCTAGTGACAAACATATGGTAGACATGTAAGGGGAAGAGAGCGTGTGTTTGTGTGCGTGTAAAATGCATACCCACACAGATTAAATGTATTAAAGTAATGTGTGTTCGTGTGCGTGTAAAATACATACCCACACAGATTAAATGTATTAAAGTAATTACTGGCATTATAGGCAGGATGAGTTTCTGTCTCTGGATCGCTTAATTGTTTACCTCTCTTATGCAGCCTTGTTCCATTTAATGTAGGTACAGAATGTCTAAACAAACATTTGCACCAGAGGAGGTTTGCAGGCAGACTTTCTGTCTCTCTGCAACTTCTGCAAAGTTTAGGCGTGAAGGTAGCAACAGATAGATGGTGTGTATAGGATTTTCCCACAGCACTTTCAATCTCTTACTTGGTTAACTTGTTTGTTCTGTGTTCTGGTATTAAAAGGTGTGGGAAGGCTCAAATGTGAGTTCTGGCAAGATCAGTTCTATCTTGCACCTGAAATTTTACTGGTGTGTCATGATTGATTTTTGCAGTGCGTAGTCTGAAAATGTAAATGTTTTGAATTGTTCGCGAGATGTAAGTAAATATTTCAGTAGATCAAAGTTTCTATGCGAAAAAAGTTAGTGTTAGAAATCTAATTTATCAATTCTTCTCACTCTAATGCAAAGGAGGTTAAATAGAACTTCACAGAAATATCATAAAAGAAATTAAGCAATATAAATCAAGATAATTCATGGTTCTTGTCTGCCTTTCTGGTTCTGATAATAGTGCTGACTGTATGCTTTCTCCTCGTTAAATTCAGAATAAACATAGTGGGAGTATCGTTAAAGATGGGCACAGTCTGTGTCTGACACGTTGGAGTGGGTGATGTCGGCCCAACAGCCTCCCCCTGCTATGTGCATAGTTATTTTGGTGCATTTTTACTATGACAAACTGAATTCTGTAATTCTTTCTAGCACTTCTGTATTTTTCAGGTTTAAGTCAAATTAACAAAATTAACTTACAAGATAGTACCACGTGAAAAATAGGATTGTTCCCATGTATGTGTTGTGCAGGTTTTGTTAGTGTAATAGTGTGTTAGCAGATGAGCAGACAAGAAACTTCCTTAAAGAACTTTGCAAAAAGGCAGAATACGATGGTGGAATTTGTTTTTTTTTCATGTATTGTAAATTAATATAAAAAGGCAAGGGAGGGTTGTGGGTTTTTTTTCCCCTGTATGCTAATGTTGTCTTCTAAATTAGCTTAGGAAAAAAAATATCCTAAATCTGAGCCTAACAGAAGTAAGAGGAGATGATCTACGGGTTTCATCTTAAACACCTGTATTATTGTAATATTTGGAAACTTTCTTCCAGAGAGTTCATCTTGATGGATGAACTAGGTAACCCAGAAAACCACTCTCTTTCTTTTTCCAACCATTTCAGGTGTTTTTTTGAGATTCAGAATAATTTGCGTTACAGAAAGCTTCTTTTCAATGGCTGTAACATTTATGAATGAGTTTTCAAAGATGCATACTTGTTGGAAACAAAGCTGCTGATAAATGCTCCTGGGGAAAAGATGGAGATGGTAAAACTAGTTGTCCAAATATCCTGCAACGCAAAAAGTGGATTTTTGACTCTTATTAATCTAGTAATTCCTAATAGTGCAAACACTATTTTATCTTTGTGTATTTAACTCTTTTCATACCAGTTAAATCCAATCATGAGAAAGCAATTCTGTAGTTCAGATGCTTTGAAGCATTTAATGGGATACCAAGCCTTTATCTTCTGAATTTTTTCGCTTTGTTTATTCTAGGCAAAGCTACATCCTCTTCCAATCCTGGTAGCCCAGCACCGGATTGGTACAAAGATTTTGTCACTGATGCGGATGCTGAAGTGTTGGAACATTCTGGGAAAATGGTGCTTCTCTTCGAAATTCTTCGAATGGCAGAGGAGCTTGGAGACAAAGTGTAAGTCAGTTCTCGAAATATTTGTAACGACCTTATAAATGTGTTATTCCAACAGTGTTCTTTCATTCAGGCTTCATGATGCGGTAGCTCAGCTCTCTGAAGCAAGTGTTTATGCTACATGAATTTTATCAGTGAGTTTTCCCATATGTGCATGTGCTCCACGAGAGTCTCTCTTGGTGTCTAGAAGGCTGTTTGTTTCAAAGGTAGTAGCAGAGTGAGGAAGGAAGCAAAATAAAGCAATGCAGTAGTTAAAATAACCTGAGAGGTGACTTTTGTGTTTCCCCGTTTCTGCTTTCAGCCTAGTGTTTAGCCAGTCCCTAATATCTCTGGATTTGATAGAAGATTTTCTGGAACTGGCCAACAGGGAGAAAACTGACAAAGAGAAGCCTCCTATTTATAAAGGTGAGCGTCACCTTGACGTTGTGAAGCTAGTAACTCTTTTACAAGTCTCTATTCAGTCCAAATAATTTGAAATAATTGTTTTCATTAGAAGAACTGTATGCTCTGTGCTATTCCTGAAGTTGGCAGGATTATTGGTCTCCTCTGCAGGGGGTCTCTGCTATCCCATTAAGGACTTTTGCTTCTGATTTCATTCTGTGTCATCTGTGCTTAATATCTTAAATCTGCCTAAGCAGATTAAATGTTCATCATCTGAAAAGAGAAAGGCGTTTTGTTAAATTCTGTACAAAGTGATGTTGTATACTGATGCGTGGCAAATTGTGACCCTTCCTACTGGGAGAGAGATAATGAAAGAAAATTAGAGTACTTTAAAATAGAGTATGGAATGTGCAAACAGTGAATTTAGGCTTTGTATGTACTGCAGTAGATCGTTTTGTGGATTTCATAAGGGAGCAAAGTATTGAATTAATTATTTTCCTTGTGATGCTCAAATGGTGAGGAATATCCAGTATTATCAGTCTGGTTACTTACACCATCAGCATTTTAATAATTTGACTGTTACATTTATAGGTGAAGGAAAATGGTTCAGAAACATTGATTACTATCGTTTAGATGGCTCAACTACAGCTCAGTCAAGAAAGAAATGGGCTGAAGAATTTAATGATGAAACTAATGTGAGGTGAGATCTTTTCTGATACATGTGCTTAATTGACCCCCTTCTCTTTCTTTTATTCCCTATTTCTTTGTGACTCGTATTAGCTTAATGACCTCTTAAGGTTAGGCAAATAAGTACCGCAGTGTTGTCAGGTGCAGAACTTGCACAATAAATGTGCAACAACAATAAGCTTCTGGTTTCCTGAAATTACTTCCATTTGTACTGATCAATACCTGTTCAGCATTTCTGTGCTGATTTCCTTCTTGTTTCAATTGTGTGCCATTTGGATCAGAGAGTGTCTTTTTTATTATAATCACTTCAAAGGATATAAGGACCTCAGAAGGTCAAGAGCCCTATGGACCTCAGAAGGTCATGAGCCCCATGCTGCCAGGAGACAGCAGTCACTTGGCCACTCAGAAGCATGGAGCTCTCAGCCTGTCTCCAGACTTGCCCCCAACCATCTACTGTTCATACAAGTTGGGACTTCCAAGTCTGATTTGGATAGGTAGATAGATACAAACTTGTAGGAATTTAATGAACTTAAGGAGCCTTACCTTCCTAGATTTGTTTAAAAAATAAAATCTGTAGTTATGTTGCAGTCATTTGTGATGTACAGAAAATTAAAAGAAAAAGGATAAATAGAGCAAAGTAAACTAATTTGGTGTTAGTACTCATAAATAGTTTATTCTGTCAGGTATCTGGCAAGACCTCATTTCACGTTGAGCCTGAGTGAGATGATATTCAAAAAAAATCAGATACATCAAAGAGGCAGTGTCATTCTGGAGTTATCCTGAAAGTTTGCTAGCCAGGAAACTGTTTCAATAGCATGGGATATGCCTGTTTAAAATTATGGTTTAATTTGATATAACTAATTTTATTAGAGTTTGAAAATGCAAAACCAAAAATTTTTTCTTACCCACCAATTTTTCTTAAGAGTTGATTTGCAAAAGGCTCTGATCTGTATTTCTGGGAGCGTATGTTTTGCAAAAAGTGTTATCCTCGTAAAATCTGCTTCTGTTTTATGCTTAATACAGTATTTTAATGAAGTTTTTGAGTTACTTCAGTGTATGAACAACTCCATAGTAACACAGCAACATGGGAACAATAGTTGTTTTCCAAAATATTAAAATTTTGCAACTTCTCTCTGTTCCAGAGGCCGCTTGTTTATTATATCCACTAAAGCAGGTTCCCTTGGAATTAATCTTGTGGCTGCTAACAGAGTAATCATCTTTGATGCTTCTTGGAACCCGTCGTATGACATCCAGAGTATTTTCAGGGTTTACCGCTTTGGGCAGAGCAAACCTGTGTTCGTGTACAGGTTTTTGGCTCAGGTAGGTTTCTGTCGGGTATTTCTGTCATCTTCTGGTCCTGCAGTCAGGTTTGTAAACGGTAACTGGTTGGAGTTGTGCTGAAGTCTGTAGTGGTCCACACCGATCGGTCATCATCCAGCCCTAATCTGAGAGCAGCACGTGGCCACTGGAAAAGCTCTCGAAGGAAAGACTGGTTAAATAACAACAGGCATTACTTCCTGTTCAGCCCACCTCGTTTGACACCTTGTGTAACACAAATTCTGGAATTGTAGCAGTGATTCACGCAGCCAGACTCAGGGTAATTTTCTTAGCTTTTTTAATTTGCACACCATTAAAAATTCTGAGTTGAACTGACTGTGTAGAGGATGGTGGTTAGGCAGTAGGCTTGCTCAGTGTAGCTGTCTGCTACAGACTCCTGGTCTGTGCACCCCTGACAGTCCAGCTGGAATGAAAACACAGGGAGCTAAAGAATTTTTTTATAAAAAGACATCCAGTCATGATTTGAAAACTTGTTTCACACTCTACAGATATTAAAGATGTGTAATAATTCTGATGGTCACTGATCTGTGCTTTTTTTTTTTTGTAAGTATAATTCCATTATTTCTGATAGGAAGTATCTTGCTTCCGTCTTCTAGTTCTTCAGGTGTTACAGAGTAGGCTGAAGACCTTTTCCTGGTAACAGTACTTAACTCTTGATAGAGTATTTACTTGCCAACTTAAATAGATGACTTTTTGTAGCACGTTACCGTCAGACATGGGTTTTTTTCTTCAGACCTCAGTCTATTTTTGTAGTTTTCTATGTGTACTTTTGAACTGTTGATATCCTTTTTAAATTAGGATGTTCAGAACAGACTGTGCTGTTCTCATACTTCTCACAGTCGTCATCTTTTTCTTAAAAAAAAAAAAGTAATTTTTCTTTTTTCATCAAGGATCTATTTTTTTCATACACAGCTGTGATGAATTAGACTTGACTGCTTCCCTTCCCCTCTCCTCTCCACCCCAGTGATATGGTATCTGTTTTCCTTTTTCCAGGCTGCTCAAAGCAGCAAAACAAGGTACATGCTCTGGAAATTGCCATTTTCTTGTCATAATCCTGCTTTGGAGAATTGAAGCAAAACCAGATCTCTCTGAAACACTACTGAAAAAAAATACATTTCTTACTCTAGTCAATAGCTAGATGACATCTGTCACATACACAATTTGTATCATTTTGTGTTGGCTTTCAGGAGGGTGTTTGGTTTTTTTTTTTCCTCAGCAAACAAGTATTTTCAGGTAACTGTAGATATAAAGTCAAAGAAATGAGGAACATAGAGCACTGTTACGTTGTTGTGTATGAAAGTGAGTATCTTGGTTTTTTAGGGAACAATGGAAGATAAGATCTATGATCGTCAGGTGACAAAGCAGTCGTTGTCTTTCCGGGTTGTCGACCAACAGCAAGTTGAACGTCATTTTACCATGAATGAACTTACAGAGCTGTACACCTTTGAGCCAGATTTGCTGGATGATCCTAATGCAGAAAAGAAGAAGAAGAGAGATACGCCCATGTTGCCAAAAGTAAGTCGATGCACATCACTAGGAATTACACACTATAAAAAAACTTTATATAGAATCATAGAATGGTTAGGGTTGGAAGGGACCTCGAAGATCATCTAGCTCCTACCCAAGGACATGGGATGTTTGATCTTGGAAGAAGAGTGCTGTGTTTTCACTTTCGAGCAGTGTTTTTCACTTTGAATGAAGGTGAAGAGCAGGTAACACAACAAAATATGTCATTAATATAATGGATGGTACAATGAGTTTCCCTTCAATGTAATTGTCAGTGTAAGAAAAATTGTCTTTAGTTAGAAGACAAAATTAAATTAGAACAAAGACAAATGCTTTTTCCTACAATTTGAGTGAATAGAAGTTTTACTGCAGGAAATTGTGGAAGCCAAGACTCAAATGAGCATTGATGGGGTGCTGGTGATACCTACCGTTGCCTCAGTTTGTGATAACAAACCTGTGAGATGATTCTGTACTTCAAGGTCTGTTTTTTATCTACCTAGATAGGACTTTGAAAGAGTCAAATTAGTCCCTGCTGGTCTTTGCCAGACCTTTCTGGGTTTTTATTCCTTGTTTAACCCTTCTTAGAGGGACCAGTAATAGAGATACAGTAGAGATCGAGGAAAAAAGTTGCACTTGTTTGCTGTTTAAGTGAAGAAAATTGGACAAGCTAAGATTTTTTTTTTAAATGTTTTTAGTGTTGCCAGTCCTAGCAGAGACCAGTGACATTTTTGTAGACAGTCATTTGCACAGCTTACTGAGAATGCTGATGTTCCCTACTCTGAGATAATGTGCAGTAGTGATGTCAGACCTTTTCTGACTTGGTGCTAAATGAACTTTTAAGATCACAATGGTTTGTTTTCACCGAAGCCTGCCTAAATCTGTTTGTAACACGTGCAGTAGTGGTTCATTGTCGCTACTCTCTGTAACAGTGATTCACTATCCTATGTGATACTTGGGGAACTGAAAAATTTACTAACTAGATTGAAAAATAAAACCCACAACTTTTACAGTGAGACAGGAGTAAACTTCAGAGGAAAGAATAACTGGTTCAGTTACTTTATTCTTTTTCCCTAGGTAGTTTGTGTTTAAGATTAGGCTAAGTGTTGCACTTTGCCTAATTTATATTCTTCGTGTATTCATCGTTAAGCTCCTGTGCAATTATCTTTGCTTCCAGTTTGTAAATCTAGTCCTTTCCAAGGAAAAATGGTGTGTTTCCCATTCTAGACTATCTGTAGATGACTATAATATAATAAATTGTGGTCAGGCATCACACTGGCATTTTTGATAGTCGGGCCATTCCCTGACACAGTCTGTTAGACCACCTACAGCATCGATGCAGCTGCCAGGGGGATTTAGGAAGTGTCAGCCCTGTAAGTGTTAGTCCCTGCTACAGATGCACCCTAAAACGCTGGAAAACAAACTTTAATGACTGTATCGAAGCTCTTTTTATTTCAGCGTTTCTCGCTGAAAGCAGTAAATTGTTGATAACTGAAAAAGTTGTTCTACCTTTTTACCGTGTTGTGCATTTTTATTTTGGCAAATGCATTTTTTTGCCTCCTAAAATGTCTTCCTTTAGGTTGGAATTAATAGTGCTTTATCTTTTTTACATTCTTAGTTGTTTTATGCCGTGTACATTTATGCTTCCACAAACTCATAGCCAATGCATCACCATTTGCTGCTGCTTCTTACTTTTAGAGAAAATCAAAATAGATCGAAAACCTGTGAAACAATTGAGTATATTTACTCAGAGCATTGATCAATCCAGTGCAATAATTACGTTTTGAAAGTTACTTGTTTTCTTCTACAATAGTAAATCAATTAATGAATGAAGTATAATGTAAAAGAGAAAGTTTATAAACTCCAAACTTACTTTATCATTCCATCTTACATAGTAAGTTCCATATAAATTCCCTTCCAACCATCAGTCTAAGGTTTGTGTAAGTTAAGTTGAATACAAGCTTTTAACCAAGTCCCTGGCTGTAAATAGAGCAAATCTGTGTACCAGAATTCTCTCTGGGTTTTTTCATGGTTTTAGCAAATGATATTGAACAGAATTTTGTCCTTTTAAAGATGTGCATTTTAGTACATACTGTGTGCAAATTTCTAATCCCTTTTTTAATTTGTTGGTTGAAAAGGCTGTAAATCATCGGGTAGATTCCCCTTATTTTAGCAGTTTCTGTATTTATTCGTTCAAAGTAGGGCTTTGCATTCCTGGTAGCCTCACAGAATGTGGGAAACTAGCCACTGACCCCTAAATATTCTCTCCCTTTCCTTGTCCCCCAGAATTAGTGTCGGTAGTGAGGAGGTACCGTGCGGGATGCGGAGTTCCCGCAGCTCCTGCCACCGTCGGGAGCCGAGAGGTGCAGGTGTGCGGTGTGGTAGGAGGCACGTGGCACATGTGGTGGCTGGTGGTATCGTGTGTCGTTGGTACAGTTGTGGTGAAAACATCTTCGAAATGTTAGAGGGAGCGAAGGCGTTTCTAGGAGCGTTAATAAAACCCGGGAGTTGTCACAGAGGAGTTTGTATTGGAGAACTCGGTTTCGTTTGCTACTTACATTTACTATTTTGATCATCCCACATTTTTTTAAACTATTTTTCACTGCCTTTGTTTTCCCTCTGAAGCTCTGCTGATAGGGATGTTTTATTTTCATTTTATCCACAATTAGGTTCTTGCTTTGCACGCGAAACTGAGTCCAGTAGTTGCACTGGCTCCTTCCTTGAGTCGTGTGTCTGTTTAGTTGAATTGTGACTCATGCCTTATTTATAAAATCATAAGTTTAACTTTTATGTTTTATTTCCTATTCTGTCTTTTTTTGGTCTATCCAGTTCTCTAAAATCCTACATAAACAATCCAAAGGAAGCATCAGCTGTAGGAAATGCTGCAGTGAATGTTATCCACTGAATTGTGCAGGGTTATTCATTCAGAAAGTTAACTGTTCCTTATTTCAGTGTAATTTTAGCAGAGACACATCATTTAGCTTTATAATTAGAAAACTTTTTAACTGAATGAATTTAACAACACGCTCATAGCATTTTTTTAAAAAAGTTTATTTAAAAGACTATTACGAAAACATTTTCTCGTAACGCTGATTAATTACGCAGCATTTGGAGACGAAAATTTTCGTTGAGATCATGTTGCGTGTTACTCCGATGCTTCGTTCCTGGTAAGTTCAGCACACCCAACCCAACCTCTGCAGCTCTTAGCTGGAAACAGAGGCCACTAAAACTCCACCTGCATTGCTTTTCCATCATTGAGCTGTCTACCCTTTACTTACAAAGCCTGAGCTGTTCCTTTATAATTACCAGCACAGCAAAATAAGCATTTAGGCTAAAATTTAGGTTAGTTGTGCCTGTCCCAGGCTTTGTGTCTAATCGTCTCCCTTTGTCTCAAGGCCTCTTTTACATCTTCAAAGCATGGTCTGTGGAACAGTGATACCACTGTGTAATTTTGCTGTTGTGCAGACAGTAAAAGGAGGGATTACCTGTGTAACCCTCAGCATCGGTGTGAAATGCAGAGTAAAAACACATAAATACACCAAAATGTCACGTGGAGATACGGCCAGGCTCTGAAAGGATGGATTCCTCAGAACGTGGGTACAAAGATATTGGAAATTCTGCAGTTTAGAATTGACCCCTTCGAAGAATGCTTTTTAGAGGGAATTGGGAATAGGAGTTAAGTGAAATTTTTTCCATCTTTTCTCAAACTGTCTAAGCATAAACATAGAAAAAGCTGGAAGGATATTAGGTTTTCTGCTGGATGTCTGCTAAGTCAGAGAACTTGTTGACTTGAGTGATGCCCCACAGTAGGTCCTTTAGGGAAGTAGCCAGGAGTCATGTATGTGCTCCAGTGAGGAGCAGTGGTTCAGAGCTGAGCGTTACGGTTGGTCTTGTAACTCCTGGTTTTAACACGCTTTTCAACTTCTTTGATGTAATTTAAAAAAAGGTTTTAAATTCTTTCACTTTTAATGGGTTAGGAGAATTCATTCTATACTGGTTTTAATGTCAGAAGTAAAGCCGTTACGCGAATGAAGAAGCAAATCCTTACTTGATGTTTAAAATATATCCTTGAAAGTTTTGGGTTTGCAACAATCCAAGTTTCAAAGACCAGTTTTCTTAGTAAGTGTTGTTAATGGGAGGGGAGATGTTGAATGTTGCTATTTAATATAAAAACTCACATGACAAACATGCAGTATGTCCTTTTCCTGGAAGCTTATCACCGTTTCATGTCAAGTTTTCATTTCAGCCGCAGTTTTCTGCCCTTTGTGGTCTGAACAAGACCTGTGGGTTGCCAAGGAGGGCTGAGGGGCCGGTGCGTACGGTTCTCCCAGTGCCATTTCGCTGCCCTTACCCCTCTGGAACAGCTTCTGCGTCTCGAACAATGTAAATACTTGGTTTTAACAGGGTATTTTTGTTATGAGTGTTGGTCACGTGAATTATTAAGTTAGTCTGAACTTCCACTGCTTGATTTTATTCACCCGCTATCCCTGCGGAGTTGAGAAGGACTCCTTTAGAAATTCAGTCCAAAAAAGGTGTAGCAGGTGTCTTAAGACTAGTAATCACTGAGGCAAATTTGCTGTATTTCCAGATAGAAATAATTCCTGTATGTAGGCCATGAGCTTTGTGCAAAGCTGGTGACTCGTTGTCCAACACCGACTAAAGGCAGCAGCAGATTTTGTCGTAGTTTCCGTAGAGTAGCAGTTGAAAAGGAAAAGATGATGTAAAGTGAGAAAATTGTTTAACATATTACGATTATATGTCGGGTGTTACATTTTACTTTGCAGTAAATCTGGAGGCTTTTTTAAAAATCCATGTGGTTTATGACTGAGCTGTAGTTTTGGATTTTTTGGAAGTAGGTTCTCACCGACTCTTGACGCTCAGCTCCCGAAGGGTTGTGTACTGGGGTGGACTTGGCTGGTATGTAGCTAATGGGAAAAAGTTTTTTCACCACAAATACTGATAGCTGGATTCAGTGATCCGTGTGACGCTTGTGGCTCACCTTGGCCAGTGTGATCCGTGTTTTGGAGCAGTGTATATGAGCTGGACAAAGACAAAATAAGGGGGACAGTGTGTGTCCCTGGGAGCTGGCACTGCTGCACCCCCTCTGTTCCGTGCTTATTCGTCCCCCGATCCCTGTGTCAGTGTCAGTGGGTTAGAGTCACGGTCACGTTTTTATGCGAAATGAAAACTTGGCCCAGTGGAGGTCGTGTAATGCAGACGGGAAAAGCAGATTAAAACAATAGTTCAGATTCAGATGGATATAGTATGTAATTATTTTATACTACCTCAGGACATAGCCAGGGCTTGTGTTTTACTGTAGTTCTGTACTAGGGGACAATTTTGTGAATTTTGGAAGGCTATTGATCTCAGAAGAATTTGTTGCTTATTTAAATTAATTTTTAACCTTGGTATGAGATGTTCAATTGGTTGAAAAAAAACTTCTTTATCAATTACAGCATAACTCACATTCCTTCATGGAAGATTTCCTTTCTAATACATTTATCTCTCCATAGCATTTAATTTCCATCAGGATTTTAAAATGACAAAACTTTATTTAACATTCAGTACCTTTTTTTCAGTATCTCTTCATTTTTTCATTCATGACCAGGATTTCATCTTAAAGCTTATAAACCAATTGATAATCATTGTTCTACCAGCAAGCTGAACAAATTGAAAGGAATATTTATTCTGATGATTTTTTGTGTGTGAGGTGAAATTATTTTTTTTTTTTCCATTGTAAAATTAACCCAATGAAATGGCACTGCCTTCCATATGCCAGTCTTCAAGGTCCATCCTTAAAGTTAATGCAAAATAAAGTTTAGACAAAGAAAAACAAACACACAGTTGGATGTAATTTAAACCACATTTCGAAGACTGTGTTGGCTAAGGGAGTGTGGATTATATTCCAGGATTGTTTTCAATAATAGTGTTACTATGGAAATTAATGCATATGCATGTCCAGGAACCCTCCACACACTGATGCACAGCTATGGTATGCTCAGAGCACTGGAATGGCCTCAGCTTGATTTTGTCACATCTTCTCGACTTCTTCACCCACTTCCTCTGGATGTTTTCGTCATATCTCATTATCACATCTCTTTTCTCTCTCTGCCTTCTCTGCCACCACCCCAAAAATACCAGTATTTGTTTCTCGTGCCGTTAGTCATGCAGATATTACGTGCATATTTTGTTGAGGAGCTGGCGAAGAAAGCATTCATTCAAATCTAGGGAGACCAGATAGTAGAAGGATGAAACAAAGACTCGCTTTATATAACTGGTTACCATAATTGAGTTTTAAACACACACGGAAGCAAACTTTCTGTAGCTGTTGGGAGAAAACCACTGGTTGGGACTTCCACATGCCGTTCCCAGTGTTGTTGCAAAAATCCCTTTGCTTGTGGGTACAAGCCGTTCTTTCCAGTCATTGTTCTGTCTAGATTATAAAACGTCAGGGTAGGACAGTTTCTATTCCTGTTTGTACAAGTGCTCAGCAGAATAACGGCGTGACGTGGGTCTGTAGGTATTCCTGTAATTCTGCTGCAAAAAGTATATTCAGTATATTCACTGTAACTCATTCCAGGAGGGGCCCAAAAGTTCCAGGAGATAATGTTTTTGTATTATGAATCTTAGAC